TTGGGGCAGGGGGATTTTTTTTTAATGTAACAGCTTCTGAGAACACATTTATACTCAGCTGAGCATAACCCTAAATCATTTATATTTGTGTTGGTAATTTCCATGTGTATATGTGTCCTAGAGATCTGAACTTTGGAACCAGCAAGAAAAGTCGAGGGCATTGTTTGAGCTGTGCCTGCAAAAGATTTTGTGTTGTTCATGAGTAATAATCACCTGACCGTGCACTAAAAAGAACGCACAATGTGTTTAGTTTTAGAACTCTGTTGACTTTGACAGAGACTACTGTAAAAAAAAACATTAATGTTTAAACAGAGCCATGTCTTTTTGCGTGTGTTTCTATGTGTACAAGCTTCTACAAAAAATACAAATATTGACAAAGGTCGTCTCATAGGAACCATAATGACTGTTAGGATGACGACATTTGGTGAGATGGGCCTTGAACCTTCTTGCAATAGCAATGTACGTGTGAAAATGCACGCAGTATAACCAACTTCGAATACTACAAGGCCCTTCACGCGTCCTGTCGTATCAATCTTGTGCCGATGGGCAGATGAACATTGCTCATCCACCACAGTGCTTGGTTTCCAGTCACACAATGACTCACCGCTTGCTGTAACTCAATGCATCGTTGTGATTCGGGGGTCACAATATGATTCAGGAACCCAACTATATGTGTATTAACTTATTACCATTGTGCAGCGCGTATAAACTCTTGCGAACGATCACATGCAACACGTACGAATCTAAATTAATCCTTGCTACCACGATGCGATGCATATATCCAAACCATAGCAATATATTTTAATCGATGCATCGTGAAGTAGCCATTTGGCTTTCACCGTCACTGACTCTTGCCACAATCTGCAGTGCACTTCATCCTGAATCCAAAGTCGCAACCAAATGAAAATCTGCAATAAACTGAACATGTGCCAGTGTTTATGGAGTGGACATCCTGCCTGGGTTTCCAAGCCCCCCACCCTTCCCCCGGTTCATTGCCTGTGCAATGAACCCTTCATTCACCTTGGCTGCCTCCTGTTCCCCGGGAACCCGACCGTCGATTTTTTTCCACATGGGCAGAGGGTGAGTGCCGCCGTGCGAGCACTGGGTGGGGACGTGGGAAGAGGGTTGTAAAGGGTGCCTGGCGTGGTGGCAACTCGCTGGGAACGCAGCTCTTTGGAGGAGGCAGGTTTTGTGGCAGCAGTGTTGCTTTGCGACAGAATGCTCAAATTAACAGAGCACTGAATGCCAAATCACGATCGCAAAGCAACACCGCTGAAAGTGATCAGATTATTAAAACAATTAAATACCATATATCTTAGGAGTAACTGACAAATTAGCCCGGGTTTTGCAAAAGCAAAACATTAAAGTAAGATTTGGTACAGTATACAAAATTCAAAAACTAGTATCTTGCACTAAAGACGAATTACCTAAATTATTAACAGAAGGTGTATATCGGATTAATAGTTTATGTGGCAAATGCTATATTGGACAGACGGAATGTAACATCAGCGTCAGAATAAAATAACACCAAATAAATATTAAATTATTTCAAACACAACTGTCGGCAGTAGCAAACATGCTTGCCAACAAGGCCACTCAATTGATTTTGATGTTGAAGTGTTGGGTAAAACTAATTATTACTGGCCAAGACTAATTAGAGAATCCATTGAAATTGAGAGAAATACAAATAACTTTAACCGCTCTGACAGCTACAGGCTTAGTGCGGCCTGGAAGCGTATTATTAAATAATACATATTACAATTCCTTATAGGGGAAACACATACTAATTAACTGATTACTAACGTAGTATATAATTACAATAACCATCTCCCCTCCCTCCGCCCCCTCTGATTTTCTTCACCTGCTTGGGTATAATTGGGTTAAGTTACTGAATATTACACATTACAACTAATCTACAACTGATTACTTACCATAACAATTAACGTATTACTAATCTATTGTATAATTGCAACAACCCCCCACCCACCTCTAATTTCTGCACCTGAGTGGTTATTGTAATTGGTTTCAGTTATGAAATAATACACGTTACATCTAATTACTAATCTACAACTGATTACTAATGATAACAATTGACTGATTACTAATATATTATATCATTACAGTACCGCCCACCCTCTGCCTCAAATCACTGCACCTGAAGGGGTTAAATGATGACGTCACCCTGCTGCTCTATTTCAGACCGGGAGCAGGTGGAGGGCTTCACCATTCTGGTAAATTGCCCGATGATGCTGGATGTAATTACGAGCGAAACGTCGTCGAAACGTCGTACTCAAAAATTGTAAATGTTGTGGATTCACTCTTCAACACATCGGTGGACTAAGTTAGTGAACTATTTGTCTTTTGTCAACGTGACACATTTTCTTGCTGATTGGCCGTGTCGGGTGGTGGAGGGTTATGACACATTTATAAATAACGCGATCTAACCCAAAACCCCTTTATAATGAATAATATTGGTCGCGAAAGCCTCGGGGTCATCCATAAATGACGTCACGCGATTTTGGACGATTTTGACCCCCCCCCCTCGTCACACGGCGTCACAAAAAGTCAGAACCCCGCTCAAATATGACGTCACAAAGCTCTGTCCCCCCCCTCCCCCCAAAAATATAAAACATGCTTCAAATCTCTATAAACTATTGTCATTGTAGTGCGTATTTAATGTGACGCTGCACTCTGTTGCTGTAGGAGAAAACATTTATTAAAAAGTATATTTAATTAAGTAGAACGTGTTGTCTATATTTATTTAAAGTTGCGCATTTTTATGTGACGTCACATTTCTCAAACCCCCCTCCCCTCGTCACACATCGTCACAAATGTCTAACCCCCCCCCCCAGGTGCGTGACGTCATTTATGGACGGCCCCCTACGTGTTAAACGAACAGTGTAATCCCTTTGAAATACACACAAGGTGTGGAAAAAAAAGCCAACAGCAGTTGCTTGCACCGCCAAGTTGCAGCAACATCCGCGACAATATGCGGCGTGCATAACTTATCTGCGTTGGCCACGCGCCCCCATTATATAATGGGGCAGCAGAGCATTAATAGCGCTGGAGGCAGAGTGGCCAGTTGAGAGTCGGATCTCGTTCACAGCACCGAGGTTAGCACGGCGAAACCTCCTGGCCAAGGACTCCCCTAGCGGTGAGCGCCCGTCAGTGAGCGGCGCTGTCACCAGGACATGAGCACAATACGGGGTGGTGGTGGTCGATAGCTGTGGGGATGGCACACGTGTAGACTGCGCTCAGCTCATGCAAAGGAGTTCCACTGACATCGAGCCAGCCACATGTGTATGTAATCTTTTTGTGTGTATACATATATATTTGTTTTAAACAGGCAAAAGGCCATTTCCACCAGACGTCTCTTTTTTCCCCCTAGGCTGAGCAGAGAGTGAATGAGCCTCATGTTTAAAGCTCAGGTTCTCTCCTTTGCATAAGAGACCGTTTTGATTCAGTTGGCTCACACTCGCTTGATGCATAATGGATGGTGTATTGACGCGTTTGATGTCCTTTCTACGACAAAGTGAGAGTAATTGAGATGCATTCATTACTTTGCAGAAGGGACGCGCGGCACAGTATTACATATCACGATGGATGCAGTGCAGTACCCGTGTTTAACAACTTTTTTTTGCAGTTTGCATTTGTCGCGCGATATACTAGAACTCAAATATTGTTAACCTGCGCTCGTCAACGCTTTGTTTATGACCATTTCACTTTAGAGTCTGTGACAGGAATTTATCCCGTACGTGTGTGTGCGTAAGCTGTTTCGATGCACTGGCCGTTCTGCTGTTCACAGATACGAATCTCTGAGACGTACGATTTGCAAATGATACACAGTATATAGACCGTATACTGTATGTCCATCACGGCGCCGATGACATCTGCTCCAACCCCTCACCCTAGAACGCGCAGCTGCGCATGATTATGTCAATGCAGCATTGTATGAACAGTAAAGTTATACTATAACAAAACTACCCCCAGCGCTCATGCAAAGGGCACACTCTTGCGTTTGAACAAAGCAAAGGAGGACTTGAACCTCAATGAAACATTTTTCGCAGAAAAAAAAAAGTATATTTGGCGGACAGGTAATTACTTTCCCGGGGTCTTTTTTTGTTATTTCTCACACCTATTCACGACTGCTCTGAGAAGTGCTGCAGGGCTGTTGTGTGAATTATGTGAGCGGTCACACAACGAAGACAACGGCTCCCTCCTGCGGCCTCTAAGAGACCGTTGGAGGCAAGTGCTGTGCTGTTCGCGAACACGGGGCACACCGGGGGTGGTGCGGTCAACACCACGCCCGGCCGCCTTTGTATTCCCAGCACTGATGGGTTTTTGTTCACACACTGTACCAGGAACTCATTTGAGCATGAGTTGACCAAGGAGAGGCCAGGAACCGGGTCTGAAATATCACTTGCCAATTATGTTAGTTAGCCGTAGCCGGAAAATGAATGCAGTTCGTCAAGTTTGTGGTGCAGTGTGCTAACCTTTTGGCCACCACGAATGGTCAAATACACACACACACACACACTTTCCCACGTATAAGCATGGAAATAACAATTAACTGCCTCTTAGAGCCAATGTTGGCAGAAGGCTCTGAAAACAGTCCATTTCACAGCATTAAATAAAAGGCAAAATGCCATACAAGGGATCGCAATGATTCAGTTATAATAATTTATATAGCGCTTTTAATCAAGCATCTCAAAGCGCTGTAAAGTGCCGGCAATTGGGCTCGCTTGATCAAATGTGCATTTTACAGCAGATAGAGTGGCGACATGCTGCATTCATGCAATGCGGTCATAAACCATGTTGACGATGAAACCGGCAAGAGCTGACAGTAGCCCGACTGCCACAAACATGTGGTCACCATCCCGGCTCTTGACAATTGCACTTGCCGACACTGTTTGAATGCAGATGCAGGAAAGTTCACACACACACACACAAGACAAGACGTACACGCAAGCATCTCTCCGTACACGCTCGCCACTACCCACCTGACTCTGCGAAGCTAATAATCTCAGAGTTCTGCTCGCTGGGGTCGCTTCCACGCGTCGCCTGGTGCTGACGATGATGCTGCTGCTGATGCTGCCCTCCAGCCTGCAGACGGCGTAACGCATTGAGCATGGTGGCCCGTGGCACGGGCTGCGTGATGTTGGGCCGCTCTCGCATCTGGAGTCGAGCGAGGATGTGTCTCTTGACCGCCTCGGTCAGCAGGGATGTGTCGGCACCCGCGTGCTGTTGCTGTTGTTGCTGTTGCTGCTGAGAACCGCACGTCCAACAGCCTCCCGAGGTGGCGCTCAGAGACGCGTTTCGCAAGTCCCTGGCCGGCGTTGCGCCGCTCACTACCGAATTCGTCGTGAGCAGCACGAGCAGGGCCAGCACCGTCATGATGGTTTGCAGCACGGAGCGCAACATGGAGAGAGAGAAGAGAGAGGAAGTCTGGAGGCCCCCGAGCGATGTCTGTCTGCCTAGCACAGTGCTCCTTAAACTCTGTGCGATACACGTCAAATGGCACGCGCGGTTGGACACCGATTTCAGCGCTTGCAAACGCTTCTTTGCCTAATTTGTTGTGCGCGCGTGCGAATTAATAAATATAACTATTGGCGATAACAGCAGCAATCGGAACGAAAACTAAATTGAGGAGCAAAAACAAAACAAAAACGCGCAAAGTTTGTTGCTGTATTAGTTGTTCGAGACAAAGTAATTGGACAACCAAGCCCTAAGTCGCGCAGCAAAGTTCCTCTTAACTTGCCCCTCCGAGATAGAGTCTGGTGCCTCTGTGAGCGCCGTGTCGCCGTGAGCCCTGAGCTACTCACTTCTCCCTGAGCTCCGAGCTGCGAGCTTCTCCTGCGCTTTAGCCGTGAACCCCGGCGGTGCGCGCTTTTAACTGCTCGCCCAAAAGTCATGTCAAGTCACAGTGGCTCTGATGGGCGGGGCCGTCCGCGCGAGTCTGTCTCTGGCTGGCGAGATCAGCTCCAACGCTGCCGCTGCTGATGCTGCTGCGGCTTGGAGAGGATGGGGGTGGCGGTGGTGGCGGTGGGGGGTTGTGGGTGGGTGGGAGGGTGACGCAAAGAAGAGAGGGGAAAGCCCGCCGCGCACGTTGGACGTGTGTCAACTACCCCGGACTTGGCTGTGCGCTGTCTACGGGCATGGTCGGTGTTGTTCCCCCTCTCGCTGTCTGAGATTCACTCATCGGCTGCCGGTGCGGAATGACTGTAGGCGGGCCCGACGGGCGTTGGGGCCGTAGGTAGTCTGCGGCGAGCGAGCGCTGGATGATGGCATGGAAAAAAATCAATATGTGCCTGGAGGCGCTGCGGTGAGCAATGCGTGGGACTGTATTGGTGGGAATAGGTCTGTGTGGTGGGTGACGGCGGGGGCGGTTCGCGGTAGCGCAGTGGTTCACGCACTGCCCTACGAACCCCCGTGATCTTGTTTCGATTCCCGGCCAATTGCGTGTTGTACACGCGGTCTCTCTCCACGCGTGTGTCCTCCCCCCCCACCCCGTGCCTGCTGTCCCGGTGTGTAATATCTGTACAACCTCTATTAATTAAACATCACCAATGGCGGACTCAAATTCGGCCGGCAATAATCATGAGCACATAATTAATAATAAGCATATGTCATGATTCATCAACTGCTGGATGAACGCATCCCCAACACGTCCTCGTCATCCTTTCACGGTCTGAAAGTAGGGGATTCGTCATAGGTGTTCCACTCGCACCAATCCCCCCCCCCCCCCCCTCGGCTGTATGGAGCGACTGCCTTGCGTGTGCGTGGCGCTAAGAGCGACGAGAGGAAGTCGACGGGACAGCGATGATGGGGTGGTCGGGAATGCACGCGTGGCGCTCAGCACAGACAGAGAGGGGGCTGCTCTCCTCTCTACGTTAAACCCTCCGCTCTCCTCATATCAAACTCAAAGTGTCTCTGCTCAAAAGAGCGTGGCGGCGAAAGTGGGGGGGGGGGGGTCTATGTTCGTCACCATTTACAGCCCTGAGCCGGTGTAGTAAATTCCACGTTCGTACGACAGGGACCAGTTTCATCCATTGAACAAGTACTGTTCGCAGCGAACGTCAAATATTGAAACACAAATTAATTAGCAATTGACTATTGAATGATGGCGGTCCTGCGCCAGTCGTCGAAATTCCACGTTCCCAATATATATTTAGGTGAACACTTGTTTTTTTTTTCCACCAAGTGTTGCAACCTCACTTGCTGGTGCCTGTTTTATCGACCCCGGAACAATGATGATCCTAATATGATTTTCAACTCACCATCTCCCTGCAGCGATATTGCAATGCAACACAGTGCATTGTTGAAAGTCACAGCATCTCCCTGCTCAAACCAACTCACCGGCAGCTGACATCTCTTTTCACAGACTCGAGTCAGCAGTCAAAATTCGGCATTCCGAACACGAGGGCCCAGTCTGACCCATACAATACACAGAAAAAACCATCGATACTGATTTTATAACAGCTCCGTAGAGATCCATAGACTGAATCGACCCTTGACTGGGACTTGAACTCGCAAGCTGCTGCTGTGTGGTGTGAGTCGAGCCCTTTAACGACGCTTAACACACGTGTTACGTGCTCTCACAGTTGACCATACAGTATCGTTTGCATCGTAAGCCTCCTCGAGTAACAGTGATTCCGTGAATGTTTGCTGGCATTAAGCGCAGCGAGGCGTCACGGGGGCACACGTTTGCCCGTAACGTGCCGCCAATCACAGGTGTGTGGTGTGTGTATGTACAGTCTCAGGTAACGCAAGCAGGCAGTTGCGCATAATAGCGCATTGCGAACGAAGGTGGCACACGGTTGCCTATACAATCCGCCTGTGCGTAATGCGGCTCGGCCCGAATGCGCTCCCCTATGAACAGTACTCAGACCGTAACAAGAGGAGAAGGAACGACTGTTTATGAATGAAATAACAAGTCGTACGTTAGAAATCCGTACGGGTCTGCTTTTTGGAGATTTGTTGTTGCACAGTGACGAACCCAAATCCTAACCATTAATCCTACTCAAAATTCCTTAACTCGTGCGCTAATACACGAATACTATAACTAAGATTAAACCCAACTGTTCAGCCATCCTTAACGCCAAACATACCCATAACACTCATTCTATTGTTAGCCATGATCTTAATCCACTAGCACCAACCTTAATACTAAACTCGAACGTTCACCTCAATACTAAACTTAATAATAACCCTATCCTGAACCCTAATCCTACCCATGATTCTATCATTATCCTGAACCTCAACCCTTACCCTATCCTTAAGCCTACCACAACATTGCCACTACCTCTCTCATTGACACCGATCTTATCCTAAACATTGACCATAATCATCGCATTAACCCTGATTACGAACTGAACATAGCAGTCACTATTTTATGGCATACTGTGATTACCATTCGCAATACTGTGATTCGTAATATTTCAGTAATTCTACTTATTAACAAAGCATTAACTAAGTCTCAGAACTTGCTTTTATTTTCAGGCGTCTCCTGGATTCGAGTGTGTTCGTCAATTTCTTATGGAGTATACGTTATTTGTTTTGCGATGGCTGGCAACTTTAGTGCCCGGAGCAACCATCAATCTACTTGCTGTACTGCCCCTATGCGGGCACCTTGAGCTACATGTGCAAATGAAACTTCGGTTTGGTGGGAGAACATTGAAAACATTAAACATCAGAGCGCGAGGCGTGTTGCTGCGCTGGGTATGCGGCAAAGCGCGTGGCGCAACAACAACAATAACAACAACAACAAAAAGCCGCGCACACAATTTGCCATTTTTAACAAAGTGTACAGAAAGGCCGCTTTTCAGCCGGGGGTTTCTCCGTGTACACCTGAAACCAAAGTGCCTCCCTTGGGGAATTTTAATAGTACAGCGTCTAATGACCCCCACACTGGCCGCCCGCTCATACGATAATATACCGCTGAGTACGCCAGGGCCACGCGCATTCCTCACGTAACACCCCCCCCAACCCACCAGCCGACGGGCCACCTCGCGGCCAGACTTGGTGGGGGGTGGGAAAGTCTGGCTTTTTACACCGCGCCCTTATGCCGGCCACTCAAGAGAGTTATTATTCAAGAGGCTTGGGAACACAGAATACTTGTGGGGTGCACGGTCAACCCTATCTCGCGTTTGTGTGCCGATCTGTTCTGCTTCTTGGGGGTAGGTGGGAGGGGTGAGAGTAGGAGAGGGCAAAGGGATTAGGGTCGTGGGCAGCTTTTTCGCGGAGAGGGGTTATAACCCCGAGTGAAAACAAGTAGATGTGTGTGTGAACAAGATAAGGAGTGCTGTATGGGGCGATCGGAACATGCTCCCCGCTGTGTGGCGCGCGTGGTGAGCACGTTCGAATCGAGTGTTTTGTTTTCTGTGAACATACTGGGCCCCGCCATGTGGAATGTGGAATTTCCACAGCTGTGTCATGCACGTCAGTGGAGATGAGCGCCACCCAATCAATGCTTATTCACGCATCGTGCAGAGCACGCCTGACATCCAGTGCTGCGGAGACGGGATGAGACGCCAAACATGTTGAGCTACGAGGTGATCTTTGGCAGTACAGCAATGAGTTGTGGGATATATACTGCCCCTTTTTTTCAATCCACTGATAGATGAGGTCCTTCCCACGCCGTCCGGGCCACGGGAGTTATTCAACCTTACTTCAGCACGCTGGTCAGTGCGGGTTGGTGAAGATGGGGGGCATAGATGTGAAAGCATAGGAATACAGTGCAACAATGGACTTTGTAGCACTGCCCTCTGCTGCCCAGCACAGTCTTTATGGAAACCTGTGTGTGCATGCTCAAATCTGCTTTGATTCTGAGATCTCGTGAATTCGAGCGCATTCCGGGTGAAGAGGTCACGGGAAATAAATTGTTGGCCCGTTTATAAATATTATGCCCTCACATCCGTGGGGTTTTTTTCTGTGTAGTCTGGTCCCCTCCTATAAGCAGTGAGACATGCCAAATAAGGAATTATCTAAACCCTCTGTGCAGCACCTGTTGAATCATAACACGAGTCTCAACACTCATTCGCGACTTTCCCAGAGGAGTGCATCATTATTATTATTATTACTATTGCTACTTAACCGTGGTTACCGGTCATGACTTTGTATTTACATTGAGGCACGTTTCCGTGTAAAACCCAATGCCACAATGACGCAATGCTCTCTGAAAAGAGCCATAAAACCTTTCAAAAGTTCCCCCTTCTCAAGAGACATTTCCCGTTGTTGATCCGTGTTGGCAATCCTGAACGATTGGTAAATATCATTCCACATTCATACGGTGGGGCCCAGTCCATCTGTAGCGCAAAGTGTATCCCTGCTCAAACGGGCAGTGGTCAGGGATAGAAATCCCACATTCTGCGGGCGAGATCTATACTATGTATACAATTAACCCTGTTGATGTCTCACAGAGTGGTGATCATTTTGACGGTCCCAGAGAGATGTTTGGCCGAGTGTACCCCAAACTAAGACTCTCCAATTAATTGCACCAATCTGACGACAATACCTCGAGGTTCAAATTACTCCTCGATACGAGGTGGTCTTATTTTAATCGACCTCCGCAATGGTCATGATAATACAATTAAGCACCTTGCTGCTTAATCGATTCATCACATTCTAGCTATAAATGTACCTAAACTGCTACAATTCCCCTCTTCCTATACCAATGAATCACACTTTGGTCTCGTGGTAAAAGCACATTTCGAAATTGCGTCATTCACCGCTTGATTTTTTTGAACGTAGAGGAAGTGGTAGTGATAGGGACGTTGTCTTCAATGTCAAGGTACAGTATCGTTTCTTTACCGTAATAAAACCCACAGTCACACAGCACGTCATACAAACTTATTTCCCCCCCCTCCCCCCCA